TAAGCATTGCTCTGACTTTCCTCCTCCTCGTGACCTCTTGAAGGCTCAACATTGTCAGCACTTCACCAATCCTGCATCACGATGTCCTCGCGACGCACATTCCAGTGGGCTCAGTCCAGAAAAGCTTTGTGACAAGCCCACCTTTGCTCTCTCTTTCAGGCACTTTTGCCTATGTAATCGCTAGGAGCAGCTAAAGGTGGCAAAAAACTCTGAATTATATAATAAGGATGTAAACAAACGTAACCTCATCTCCAATCGCAACTCTAATTCGACTTCTAACTTCGTCTCCATATTGTAGATTGTACTTGGATATCGTCTTTGTCGCAGACGTCTACGTGAATCATTACAAATTAATTTGTTATAGCATGCGTATAACCCCTTTCACGAACACAGGGTACCATGCATCCAACGTTAAATGCACCAACATTTCCTGTCGTCTTGTTAACGAAATGCTGACAGGTTCGTAATTCACTTTCTAATCCCCTTTCTCGCTGTTCTTCAAGCAACTCGGCGAATAAACACGGCAAACGAAGTGGGCAGCTTAGTTGGGAATGTTTTTCCCTTGAGAGGGATTAACAGCACGTATTGGCAATAATTTTACAGTGAGTTGTCTAGTTCGCCTATCAAAAAACGTTTACAGTAGGTACGGTTACCGATGACAACCCGGTGTAGTGGCTGCTTATAATGTGTAGGAACTTGTAAAATGTGTGCGTTTGTTTCAACTGACTCATGAAGCATTGAGACGCCTCAGATCATTGCTATGGTGCCCATTTCGTACTCGTCACCATGATGCTCTTGTTGTAAGCACCCACACCCATGCTGCCAAATAAATATTCCAGTTGTATTTCCAGCTGGTAGGCTTGTACGATGGTAGCTTAACCTCGACTACAAACCAGTCAAAGTGTTGCATAACCATCGCAGAAGGTCTCAAAGCGAAATGCATTAACCAAAAGAAAGGTGTGTACATCAAGTAAGGGAGAAGAGATCCCCTCTTCTTCATCATGATGTGGAAAGGAAAGTTGTGGTAAAGGCTAAGCATGTCAGTCTCGAAGCTTATGGCTAGGAAATCACAACGCCTTTACTAGCTGATGTCAATAAGCCTAAAAGACTACTAGTAAATTCTCCACTTCCTCCACTGGTACAATAAAATCATGCCATTCCTTGCATCGTGGACTCCGACAGCTGGCTGACAGATTGATCAGAGAGGTGGAATGGCTTTTTGTGTTACTGGATTCTTTAAGTGAGCTAGCATTCATTACCCTACACTTCCAAGACATAAATCGCTTCACTGCCACTCATCTAACCTTTTGGCCAACCATCTCTCTCTCTGTCATGTATTTTCTGCACATCACAGATTCCCAAATTACACGCACACCATAGCTGCGTTCTTCACATCTTTAACCCGCAAAAATAAATGACAGATCTGCTGAATTATTAGCAAAAGACTACGTAATTTCCCTTCCCTCCAAATGCAATATTTTTGTACATAGCAGCATTCATAACAATCAGGTTCAGGGGTGAGATTTGCGGTTGGTAGGACAGTGGGGTTTTGAGGTGGCCTTGTCCATATGAGAATAGTTGGCAGTCATGGAGATGACGGTGGTCTGATCGTGATGCGTGGACTTTTTCTTGCACAGTCCCGTTCTTCGGATGATAGACTTGCGGATATTTTCGTTGAGCCAGCCATAGAGGAAGGGATTGGCACATGTTGAACTTAGTGCGAACAACTGAAACAGGAACAGTGCTGGTTTTAGATTAAGGGACTGCAAAGTACCTCTGCAAGTCAAAACTAACATTCATAATATTTTCACAGATAAAATGCTAAGGCATATGAATCAAGCTACGACTCTTTTTTTCACATCTACGGCAACGGCCCTACACACATTGGTGATTGGAAGATGGCGAGTCCTCCCACAAAGAGCCGCGAAGATGGTAAAGACTGGCCTGAACACCGGTAATCAGGTGTTTAGTATTGAGAGTGTACATACATTCGTATCTGAATAAAGACAAGTTTATCTGCCCTTGTAGGTGAGTAGCAAATATGAAGGCTAAAACCAAAGTAAAATTTAGTAAATTTCTGCCTAAAGTAGGCTTATAAAGTAAGGAGAGCTGATGGTATAATTGAAATGCTAGGGTGGCTTGCGAACTCAGACACCTTTCTCTCCCGATTTTCAATGTGCTGTCTCTTACGTGAATGCAACCCAGATGTGCTAGAAGGTCGCGATGGCATTCAATCCATCCAATTACTCCTTAACGAGGCGTATTGACATGGAGTGTGGAACCACTCTCTCTTTTTTGACATACGTCAACACATTGACAAGCAACCACGTAGGCAAACGCAGTGCTATTCAGCAGTGAGATCCTCGTACACTGATTACTCGGAGTTGGAACTCGACAGGATCCAACTTTACGCGCCTAAAAACCAGTTAACCGTACGGAAGATGCCAGACCACGTAAATACGCCATTACTAGGGTAATCACGTCGTTCTCGTATCCGTTCCCACCATTTGCAGCTAATTTGGCACTTTTTCGGCTTTAAACAGATGCAGTTATATGCTTTTTGATGAGGATAAAGCACACGCTATCGACAAATACGTCAGACCCCTTTCCATTATATCAACAAAGCAGTATTCCGGTCATTTTATCATTTAACCACTAATCAAATAAATGAAGATAAGACGCTTATGCCATGTAATTTCGCATTTTGACGGATAAAGAACAAATTCATCATCTGTATGATTCAATTTTCACTTAAAATTAAATAGGTATGTAACTGGTGTTTTTAATTTATTAGGGAGTATGCAGCGTTGCAAAAAAGTCTTCATTGAACAAGGTCAGCCTAATCACTCGAAAGAAATGACGATTCAATTACAGAAACATTGGCGCTGGGAATTCACCTTTAGAACCAGATCCGTCGTCTTTAAATTTGCATCTACGGCTACATCCTGACTGCCCGGATCCACCATTGCCATCTCATCGACGGGTACGCCAGCAATAGCATAGGCAGTGCACTCCAAGTAGAGAGAGTAGAGTGTCCAGGGTGTCCAACATCCAGCGAAACACGCCACAATGCCTACGAGGATGCGGTGGGTACGTCGAGTACGCATTTCCAGTCGAGCAGCCAGCTGGATGTGACTGGTGGAGGTCTTCTGCATGCGGTACAGCTGACCACGACGGTGTGCGAGCCACCAGCCAATGTGGGCGTAGAGTATGAGGGTGACAATGAGGGGCGTGAGGAATTGACCGATCACCACCAGCACAGAGTAGATGAGACGCCGCAGTGGAGATGGCCACTGCTCCACGCAGTACATTGGGAAGTGGGGTTTGTCTAGGTAGCAAAAGGCGCCAATTTCTCAAATCCTTCCTCTGCTAGATCCCCGTTGGAACGGTCAGGTTTTGGAGCACTACGCATTGAATTGACTTCCAATTATGGATAGGCAATCTGACTTGAAGTGTAAATAAACAAACTTTGAAATCCGTACATAAAAGCTAAAAGAATGTTGAAAGAGTGTCGTCGAAGCACGCAAGCCTCAGCGTTTGTTTTGCGGTATTTGAAAGCTCACTTCATGAGTTTCGAGAGTCCAACAAATCTCTTTTTGTTAAAACTTACTTTTTTAAGAGTGTGTGCCAATATTCATTAGTGTCTTGCTGAATATCCTTCAGTTTCGTTTGAAATCATACTCCACGACTGTGGGGGTAGTGCCCCATTATGGGTGGGACATTATTTTTCCATGAGACAAAAATTTTGCCGAAAATTATACCTTAACACAATGCTCTTTCTCTAGAAGCAAGCGAAGTGGCCACAGACTAGTGGTGAAGTGGCATATAATAATGAGGGAAAAACAAAGAATAGGACGGTTCCATCACTGACTAATTTGCCAAACTCGACTGTTTCTCAAAGTAAGGATAGTCGTATGGAACCTCTAGCATACATTCTCTTATTAGGTGGAAGACCACAACCGTAGTTACCAGTTGAACAGCTGCATCCACAGTCCACCTCCACACTCACAGGGAAGGCAGATATGGATTTCTCATGGTGTGGAAGTGATTTATACCCTGGACATGGAAAGCAATGAGCCCCAGTTCACTCAAAATTCAAGAAGCATAAAGTCTATTCTCCATCACAGAGCAGTCAGCCAGCAGACGGGCTGCAACGCACAGTATGGCGTGCCCTCAACATTGAGTTAATAAAAACGTCCACGATTGCATTGAATTGTCACCCGCTTTCCACAATGACTTTATACTAATTGCACCGGCTCATATCAGACATTTTTGTCATCTTCGTCACTGAAATTAATGAGACGGAGATGATATTCCCCAAAATCTTTTTGGCAGACCGGTTTTTGATAATCCGAAGTTAAAAGTTGTTGGGTTTGACAAAGTGACTCTTTTTAGTAAAAGCATAATGCTCTCTCAACATTAATTTTTACAAAGAAAACTTAAGCTGCAAACAAATGTTGCTCCTGATTAAAACCTTTACCATTTAATGCGGTTCACCGCAACATAGTGCAGTATCTCACAGGTAAGCTGACACAGTCTCAATTGTTAAAACTGCAATGCAAACCCTCACAGCCTACGTTGCAAGATGGCTTCATCCAACCAACCTTCTGCAACCACAAACCCAAAAAATGGGAAGCAGAAAGAAATTACAAAGCAAAGATTGCCCAACAAAGCTAAATTTGTTGCCTCATCTTTTACCTTAAGCATTGCCTTTGATGATAGCCAAACAGTGCCCATTTTAGGTTATAAATGCAATCCGAATAGCAAGAGCCAAGTGCCTTTATCTCACCAGTCTGAAATAGGGTCTTTGTTATTTGGAGGTTCATTTGAGCAAGGTATGATAGCTTTTTCCACGGCCAATTTTTATCTACAGACAAGTGTACTAGCAGGGTAATGGCACAGGAAAATAAGTACTCAACTCGAATTAGGAGGAAAAAAACCCAGTGGGACCTATATGCTTGGGTGTTGTGCATACTGCCTGTCAGACAAATATGAATACAATGTTTAGGAAGCCAAAGAACACAGTCACGTTGGGCCCACTTCCACCTTCGTCAATGCCTTTTAATCCAAACTTTTGCCTTGGTGAGAAATGTAGGTTGTTTCTATCAAATCAGTCAAAATAAGTGCTCCTTAGTTTTTAATTCACTTCAACTGTTGTCAAATAATCTGTAGCCTCTACTTGCAGCTTCACCACGTAGTGCAGCTGTTTTTTTCAATGTGTATAATGCAGTCTTCAACTTTCCGTTTTTACACAACTTCCTGGCAGGTTAGAGAAGTCGAAAAAGTGACGTGTTCAAAGTGCTTCCCACCTTTGAGAATTTATCCTGAAGTTGAAATGTAAAAATTGGGTATTTATTCAATTTTGGTGGTATTAAAAGTTTTTAAGTTTAAAAAAGTGCAAATTAACTCCGAACCTGGAAGTTACACTGTGCCAAATGTATAAACATAAAATTCCCAATTTATTCGTAAAGGTCATTAAGGAGACGAAGAATTAATTCGAAAGGTCCGACTTACCCACCACTTTTAACTCATTTATCTGAACGTCAGTTATTTATAAATGCATTTTAAATTTAGGGTTTTAAATCGTGTTTTTGATTTTGTTTCCATGGGGCGACAAATATGTCATGGAGTTGGCACAAATACGCACTAAATGACAAGTAAGTGGGGAGCAAATTTGGTGTGAAAATTGGCCACCCTAGAAAATATGCTTCTTTCCATTTTCTACATTTTAAAACCTCCCCAAAAGTTGCTCTCTCTCCCAGTTCCTCCTTCTTGATCAGTATAACAAGAAAATCAAGGTTAATCAAATGTCACAAATAGGCACGGCTGGAACCAGTTAATGCCTCCTCTGATCCCCATTAGACAGCCGTTAGTCACGTACGCATGCGCCATACCAACCCGCTTACTCCTACTCGTCTGCGAATAAGGACGTCCGCATTGAAGCCCATGGCCCCTAATTCTTCTAGCCTAGAATTCAACAAAATCCAAGCTCACCCACATAAACTGAAGCTCATAAAATTAGCCTAATCAGGTTTTTCCCTTATTAATGTGGATAATAGTGAGTAAGCAAATCCTTGTAGGGGAATCCTTTTCCCGGAAGCGAAAGGGAAGAAAAATCATTTTCTTGTGGGTTGGTTCAAGGCAAAATAAAAATTCCGTTTTTAAGTAGAGGACATAATCAACAGCAATCACAATTCCTCAGCGGAATCCGGAAAGAGAAGAATTTGGTCTTTAGCAATACAAAACCTACAGTAATCAAGTATTCCTGCTCGATACTATTCGTTCCTTTCTTTTTTTCCATCCTCCGTATGTTCTACTCGTGGTGTGCACAAAATTGTCTTTTTCTGATCGCCCTTTTCACTTTTTGTAAATGAATATCAACCGATCCTTATCCTTTTAGAAATATGTAATGCTGCAGGGATATAAAGGCTACATTATCATCTTGTTTATCTGCTGGAACTGAGCACCGCATGCAGAAATGTGACACCTCTGACTTCCCCTGTTGTCTGTTCAAGTGATATATGAATAAACAAAAAGGCGAAGAGCCGCAATCCACTTTAGGGAGGATGTTTCGGTTTTTAAAACGGCTTGTGTGGATGCTTGTTGTGTCCGGGACTTGTTTTAAGTGTTCATCTAATTCGTGCTCCATTTTATGGCTATCCAGAAAAACGCCCATGGAATTAATGAAATCATCACGCCTTAGGAATTTGGGTTCGTAAAATTCCATTTATTACAAACTGTGACAAACCGTGTTAGATAGTTGCCGTGATGGCCTCAAAAAAGACGCAATTAAACCGAAATTCTAATTTTTGTTCTTTGGTGCATTATTTTAAGTACCAATCTTTGTAAAATCGCTTTCAAAATTGTCTGGATTACAAGATATGAGCTGCTACCCTGTAATAAAATAAAAGGAAACCAATGCTGAATTGTTGGCTAGTACTAGCAATCTTAGATCATTCCCAGTTATCTAGCTGCATCGACAAAATTCCCTTTATTTTTATAAGATGGGAAATAGTCTCGTATTTATCCGTTTCATAGTAACATTAGTCTTGTGAATTATAAAGGCAGTAATCAAAAATTTGTGACTAGAGAGGAAGTTAATGATGCTGTCACGTAATTTTCAGATATTTAACAATTTTTAATTCAAAATAGGCAGAGGTCAACTTGATTTGCCATTCACTATGCGCCAAACACTTAAAAGATGAGAACATAAAACTAAATAGATTTTAGCCTTGCACATACTACTGAATTCGAGCAATTGATTAAAGTAGGGTCTAGAAATTATCAATAAATTAGTCAAACTAAAAGATAAGTGATGAGGTTGACTGGGTTATTTGGCGAGGTCAGATCAACCCCACTTTGACCAGAAAATGTCAATAAGGATTGAAGCCTTCAAGCAGTTTTTGTATCAAGTCAAACGGTCGATCAAAATGGACCTGACATGTCCGGGAATTTTGTTTTGCCTAGAAGAGGAGACAGTGGAAGTTGAGGGAACATGGACTGAGTTGTCTATAAAACCTGCCAATCTGTGTTCAGAATGCGTCAAAGAAATAAAGTATTCCCCACGAATTCGAACAGATTGAAGCATGGGGATGCCAAACATGGAGTATCATAACCACGTCCACACCTTCGAGGTCTTGGCATCAGCAGTTTGTCTTTGGGCAATTCCTGAATGTAAATTAAGATGTCAACCTCGATATCAAGCGCATATATGGCTCAGCTTCACTACCCTCCAAGAGGGTGGGTAAATGTTTCACAGAAGTGTAAGTTTAGTTACGTCTGTCTCGAGGTCCTCACTGCTTCAGTCTCCGGTACTATGGAGGAAACCAGCTTAGTTGTTAGCAGAACCATCCTGAGGATACGCATAAACGATTTTTAAGTTGCATTTTAAAAAGCCCGACATAAAAGCACTTTTATTATATGTCTCACACAGGATGCAACGTTACGTAACTGAAGATACGAACGGAAGAACAAAAGAAAAATAAGATGTCCGCATTGCAGCTATTTGACTTTTTCGGATTCGCTATTCGTGCTTCGCGGCCGTTATTATTTAATGCTGGTGCTACCATTGACTTGCCCACTTACCTCGGATCAGTTCAGTCGGGATATAACTAACTAAGATGACAGATAGCAAATGCGAATGCATCTACGAATTGGAAGAGTACCTGGTGAAGACAGTTGTTTCACGAGAACCATTATGTAAGATTTGAAAACGAGAACGGATATGGAAGGCTCCGTGGAGAGTAGAGCAAGTTAATGATGTACTCAATCACACTGGACATTTATGAAGTGCCAACATACTGTTGTATATCTGTCAGTAAAGATTTCGGGTGTCGTGCTTCCCTTCCAAATACAAAGTCTAGGGATTCATTCTGACAGCTTGACCTATACATGGACGCCCTGTCGTAAAGTGACACAAGGAGCGAGCTTTCCGTGGCACTGATGAATGAATCACAATTGTTCAGATGAAATTCCGATCTGCAAAAGTTGGGTCACAAAGGGTACCACGACGAAAGGCAACCTTTGACTAACACAAACAATTCAAATAGTGTGCTGAGCTGAAGGGACTTCCGGAGCAATAGGGCTTGGATATTTCTGCTCGTATAATTATGTGCAGTGGAACCTGGGTAAGTCATTTTAGTTTAGAATCAAGACGTGCGTCAAAGTAGTGAAAGCATGCAGAGATCAAACTCTCAGCACAGGCGATGAAGCAAAGCACATTGTTCTAGGATTTTTTAATCCTACTTAATTTGTGGAGGCACTCACTTAAGTTCTTAATGGAATTATAAATTTGGCAGTGTTCAAAAGTAAATGCCTTCCATACCTTGCATATCGTTAGCAATTGGAGCAACGGTATCAAGAGACGAGGTGGTGGAGGGAGAGATCGACACGTTAAGATCGTTGACGAAGGTTTGGGTTGAGACTTGCTGAGCATCTGTGTAGTAGGCTACAGGAAACGCAGCGAGAAGGCTGAAAAGAATGCTGAGGAGAACGAGTAGCAGCGCGGTGCTGGAACGCATTGACCCAGTGGCGACACTGCCCCCACCACCGGTAGACGAGGCACTGGTAACAGAGGATGAGGTAAAGACGGTGGGGAAGCGGACACTACGATATCGGTCGATGGCGATGAGGAGGATGAGGATGCAGGAAACGTGTGTTGGCACGCCGAGACTGGCGAACAAGACGCGGCATGTTGTTGCGGACATCTCACTTGGCTCGCCCAACTCGTAGTAGAGCTATAAAAGCAAAAACATGGAATTGCGAAAGGAGCCACTCGTCAATGTAACCTGTGGCACTTATGACAACAAAGTCAAATAAGCAATTAGGACTGCACAATAGAAATCGGCAATATTTCATGACTTTAAATGTTTGTACGTTTATTTTCAGTGTTTATTAGAAATCTCAAAGCTATTGACACAAGAATCCAGGCAGTACGTGCAAACCATGCTGGGACTAAGCAGAACCTGAGCATGAATGGTTACGATGCGTTCAGTGCTGCCAGAGAGTGACCCACCTCCTGCCCCACTTCACGACGGATTATGTACCCAGCCATCAAACGATCAGAATCAGGCGTTGCACTTGCCGACTGAGCCATGACAGGGATAAATCCATTGACTTGGGATTGGGAGAAGAAACACTGCTTCCGTGATCTCCACGTTGACACAATTCGAAGGTCCAGTGTGACTGAGTACATCATCAACATGCGCCGCAGTCCATGTAGCTTTCTTCACTAGTCCTCACTTTCGGATTTAAAGCCTGCAATTTTTGCGAAACATGCTTCCGTGGATGGATGCATTAGCCCCTGCCACTTGTAATCTTGATCTGACGACGTATGTGGGCTGGACTGGACTGATCTGCGGTATGTGCGCTGGCTATTCGCAACGCCTGCTTTACCGCCACAATAGCAAGTCTTTCATTAAAATAATATCGGAAGGTTCTGCTTGATTGAAAGACCTGTTTTTGCAGAGGAATCCACGGCACTGTTATTGCTCCGAAGCGAGCTGTCAACTGGCATAAAGTGGGGTTGTGCTTGATGCGTCAACGTTTTCATTTCCCCTTCAAAATCCTCCTAACTTCATTTCTCGTAAAAAAAATACTTTGCACCTCCTATGCACTAAAATTATGGGAGCAAAGGGCTATTTTTTCTCGGCTACTTATTTAATGGCTGCTTCGTTTTTTAGGTATCAATTGGCCTTGGTACAAATTAGCTGTGTGTGATTGGGTGAGAGAGAGACCTAAATTTGATCCAACTGAAGTGAAGTCTTTTCCCTTAAGCTTAATTAGACTATCACGGAAAGGCCAAGTGACAAAACATCACTCTTTTTAAACAAGACAGCGAAGAACACACTGACTAGTCAAATCCATTTAATCAGGCAGTTGTCTGATTAGTGGCAGATCATTGATTGACCTGTCACCTAAATTAGCGCGGTAGTTGATGAATTAAGTCTTAAAATATGTTTGGTCAGTGAAGGTTAGTGACTGAACAAAATGAGTTATGGCTGTTTTCCGTAAGGGTAATAATTCATATTCGGTCACGTACAAACTCGGACATGCTCAGCATGAAGCATGAATGCTTCGACATTTCTGTTGCAAGGTAGATACCATCACAAATAGGGAAATTTTTTCTTGCATACAAGCATGAGGGATAAATTCATGCTGTATACAGGAATGCAAGGGTTTCAAATACAGAGTGGAAGGAAATAGTAATTTTGTGAAAACTGACGATCCCTAAAAATTTTAATTTTCCTCTCTTTTTCTCGAGACTGGAGGCGCTCTGTTAGTGAGGATGCCTCAGAGTAGGGCGGGCTGCTTGAAAGTGATTACTTAAGCAAACGCCTTAGAGCTCCAAAACTGAGTTGAGAGTTAGAATTTGTAGAAGTGAGAAGACAAAGAATTTCCAGCAGGTTTTGAAAATATTTGTTTAGATTGTACACAAACTGTGAAAATCCTAAACCACCTTAATTTTGAGTAGAATGCTCTACGCTTCCCTTAGTTCCACTCAAACTATTCTCGAAAAATATTTTCTAACATAAGCAAACGAATTACTTGTTTTTATTGTATTCGAGTAGGCAGTAAAAGGGATGACGTCTCATAAATAAGTTTTAACTGATTTCTACAAAGTAAATACCTCGTTGCATGAAATGATGTTTGTGGGTGGAGAGTGGGCTAATAAAGCAACATTTAATGGTAACTTTAGCACTTCTTAAATTGTTTGAGTAGATTATTTCCGAGTCATATTTTGAGAAATAAGGAGTAAGAGATGAAATTGAATCCTTTGGTTAGACTTTCATTTCGGAGTCTCTTATATGCCACAATTGGATACCACGCCATTAAGCCAGATTTCAAATGTTATCTCGGAATTTTTAAGAGATTGGTAATATACCCCTAGGGAAAGAGAGGAAATCGTTGTTAGTGAAAACAGTGAAAAAATCTAGTCACGCAGAGTTCGTCCTCGTTTCTTTTCTGCTTCACATTTTTGCATGGCGACCAAATTAGAATTTGTGAGGAGGGTCTGTCCGAGCGAATAGCGATGCCCTTACGAAAACACGGGGAGAGGAGTTGTGCATTATGAATGGGCACAGCGCGCCAAACTAGAAAATGGACCCTGTAGACTGCAGAGCTTTAACTCAATGCGGGAGCAAAGGAGAGAAGTAAAACACAGTTTTTCACCCTACAAGTCTTTCATATTCTTTTTGGTAAAACGCATTCGGTTTAGCATATATTAAACACTGAGAATCAGAGTAAATAATAGAGGACAGATTCTGAGATTTGGAGGTAAAAAAGGGGCTTTTAAAAGCAGGGCATAATGACACCTAAATTAATTTCCTTGCTTTTGACAAATTTATGGTGCCATTAAATGTGCCTTCTCCTAATTTACTTTTGCGACCTTTTTAAGCCACCCGTTTATTTCTTTCTGTAGGAATTAATCAAACTCTTTTTGTAGCAAGACTGCGGTGACGAAGCGGCAACATGGTAATTAGACCGCCAAGTGTCCCTAAGCAGCACTGCTCACCCAAACACTTCGTTTTTTTTGAATGGTCTCTGATTAATTACACCTTTTAATTAAAAATTGGCAGCCCTGCTCACTCGAAAGTAGGCACTATGGTAAGCAGCTTTTCATTTTTCTTTTAAAAGGTAAAATAGTGCATTCAGGTCCAAATATCCTCTGGCATAATTTGCAAAATTAACTCAACCATACCATGTGGAACAAAGGGAGGTTAAAAATGAGAGCAAATGTATTCGGGATTTTGAAAAGCAAATATTAGGAATTACTTTACAACACGAATAATTGTCTCTAAACCCAAAGCCATCTAAGAGGATGAGGTCTTGCTTTTATGTCCACCAAAGTAAAGGTAAGTGATCTTCCTTTATTTTCCATAAATGTAAGAATAATGCTAACTTTGTATCTTATCAAATGCAAAATAAATGTTATAAGGTTAACAATGCTTTACTTCTTTTCTGCGCCAAGGTCAAGGATGTCATGGATTACACTCAAGTCGCAAGATTTTGAATCGTGCCTTCTCCACAGTCTCATATGCTTAGAGTATCCTTTTTCAAATAACCTAGAAGTAATCAGTATGGAACGGTTTTCTAGATCATTTAATGCAAGTGCAGCCGAAATTTTGCTTCTAACCGTTCTATCTGGTACATTTTTCACTTTTCATACAAAAGCGCGTGTTTGACAGTACTGACGATTGAGCAAAAAGGGAAAAGAAAACTACTTGCCAAAGTAAATTTTTTTGCAAATTTTTTAGTGCAGTTTAAGAACTTGAGGAAATTATTGCAAGTTTGCACAGGAGAAAGCTATTTGAAGACCACTTTTTGCTGGGAATACAGGCTAGTTAAAATATCAGGAAAATTGTGCGTATCTGAAACAAAGATTTACTTCCTTAGCGATGGTGTTCTACACAGACTCTTATCACTCGAACATCAAAAGGTATTGCTGGTTCATTGCCCCAACAGCCTTAACTTCAAACTAGTAACTATATAGGAAAAGTTCAGATTTTATCCTGTTATGCCTTTTTTTAGGCTTCCATTAGGGTGCTGCTAATGCAATAAAAGGCTCTGAAGAGTGGATGAGTCCTAAAAGATAAAAAATACCAACCCGGTATTCTTTTTATTTGCCGAATTTTCTTCAGTAATATTGTTGCCAAATATGAAATATAAGTTATATGTGGTGATGGTTCCACCAATCAGCAGTCGCAGTGTTTCTCCTTTTGGAACTAATGGGGGCAAATTTAACCTTCCCTTGTAGATGTCAGGTCGAATACAAGTACAGCAGAAAAAAAAATCATCCTCATCTCTTGCAATGTAGAAGAAATAGTGAGGTTTTTAGAACCACATTAAGACGGACCATGAAAGATCGGTGTAGATTTTTCAAATTGATATAATTTTTTTAGGACATAGGATTCATGAGGATGCATATTGGAATGGATGTTCCAGAATAAGGGCATTTTTCACTGCAAAAGGTCACGCGACTCAGGATTTGTAGACCAATTCTCAAGGCTACCAAGAAGATAGCATTCTCGCCTGTTAATTTTGGTGCCGCCTATCTTCTCGAGATAACTGGTTGCATGTAGTCAGGTGGGTAAAATTTAAGGCATTTAAATAAACTCAATATTTTTCATCTGTGAACTGTAGATTGTGGTGAAAATTACGCTAAACGGAAAGAGGAATTTAGGTATTTTTTGCTTAAAACAAACATTAGTAACAACAAATTGTATTTAAAATGCTACCTGAGGCTTTTCGCTACTAAAACCACAGTAAATGAAGGTGACCATTTCAAGTTAAATTCTGGGCATCAAAAGAATTGTAAAGTAAACACACTTACAAATATCAAATCAGAGTTGACCAACAAATTTTGGCGGAATCACTGCAACCTCATTGCAATGACGTACCGGCTTCGACGTTTTAGAAATTGTCAAATTTTTATCCATTTCACCCTTAGTTGTCCCATTATTTTTTTTCTCCCCATTGGTCATGGTGATGTAAAGAGGTTTTTGAGTGTACTTACTGCCACAATGCGACCAAAGTCGATCCAATTCCTTTAAATAAGGAGGAACGGAGACCCCTTATCACCACTCTCTCTACACCAGTCACGCAAGCACGTACATACCTTACTTCCCGGCGTACTTACTCTTGTCGACAAATCAAGACTTTCGTACTGACTATCCTGGTTAGGACCTCGATAGAGCCCGTCTTTGTAACCATAAGCAACGGCTCTACATAGTAGCATGATATTATATTTTATGGTATATTTAATCATTCCCTCAAGAGAGCTCTTTCACCAGAAGCATTGCGGGTTGCTTTGTATTTTAACTGTTCTCTGAATACAAATTTGCAAGTGCTGCGTGTGATTGCCTTATTCAAAGCTTGTCACTTTCATGGCATTCTCCATTATAGTTTTCTGTTCCTTTTGTGGATAAATTAAATAATTTTTGTCAACAGTAAGCAAACTCAATCCAAACAAAGAGGAATTACTGTGTCTTCAACTGGAAGCTAAAAGTGAATAATCCAGAAAGAAGTCACATGTCGTGGATGACTGAATTGGAGGCCGTAACAAAGCGATCTGCACTTCTGATTGTGGTGCAATCTCCATCACTGCCACATGACTATTAGCTAATGAAGGAGAATTAGATAAGGGCAAGCTAACATCATCCACTGTGGAGTTGTCTACATTATTTACAATTCTCTCGGTTCGACTTTATCAAAATGAGAATAAAATGACAAAGAGGAGTTAGTCATGGATGCTGGTCGGTTTTAAAAAGGCTTTCGAATGTGCTAGTTGTTGAGCTAAGACCGCACCTCAGCAACACAAAGCCGGTGAGACTTCACGATGCAAGTGGCAAGAAAGATGCAACTAGAGATTCATCGAAGTCTACAAGGCATACTATTAGTTGTTAAAGATCCAGCGGTTTCTTACCGTGGTTTTTTAAAAATTGAATGCTTTGTGGTAGCTACTATGGGGGGCTGATCACAGGGCCTGTCAATGACCATGCTTAAAATAAGACGGTGTTTAAGTAGCGCATCTGGTTGTGGATCTCTGTGTTTCAACCACTATCCCAATTTTATGAATTTCTTTTTGTTTCGTTCCAGCTGACAGCTCAAAAGTCCTTCATGACATTGGAAGTTAAATTGCACCCAGACGCGCACCTTGAATAATTTATTAAGATGTGTCACTAATAATTTGGCCTAAATGACATTTTTATTTCATGATTAAAAAACCAGTGATGAGGCGAGCTGAATCAAAACAAAAGATATGGTGTAACATGCAAGGACAACTTTTTCATGTAGAAAACAAAATTAGGTCAGTTAGCACCATAACTTAGTGACTAATGCTGAGATGCATAAAAGTTTGCCTTTGCGCAGGTGTCGCCCAGAAACTTCTGTTTCCGAATTCCTTTATGTCAACATTGCCCACTGCAACGTGAGAGCGTATGTTTAACTTCTAAGGACTCACAAATTCCAAAAGACATACTACTATGGTGCAAAATTGCCTCTTTTAATAGTTACAAGTCAGAAAATGGCTTTTGCTAAAAAATCTTCAAAATTTTTCCACTTAGCCACCAGAAAGCAGAGGTAAATACTTTTTGTCACCCATAGTTGGTGCACATGATAAGATCCATCCCTTCATTGCCACGCCACTGCCTCTCGGCTGGATATTGTGACTACTCTCAACACGGTATGAATTAGAGAGAGAGGGAAACAAAAAAATACACTTGTGCTGACAGGGTTTATCATGCGGAGAGAAGTGCAATGCACACCCGAAGGACGCTATTCGCATAACTTAACTGCTCAACTCATCTAAAGCAGGTGTGCTTGATATCCGTCTGATATCTGTAGCGTAACATCATTTGAAGTGTCATTGGGTCACACATTTAATACTTTCAACAGGTCTTAAATGCACTCATTTTAAAGTAACTGACAGTGGGAAAAAAATTTAACGATGGTCAGTTGATGAAAGCCGGATTAACGGCCATCTCGCCCGCAAGATACTGCTTACCCAAGTGTGGATGTAAAATAAGCAGTACAATACAAATCGGGACACTATTTTACAGTTATGGGAAATGAAGTTACCATGGCAATGTTGCACACATCAGTGATTGACTGTTGCGCCCTATCAATTACGGATACTAATAGGCAAGGCACAAGTCGCTGTTTGCCTTTTTATCAGTCCATTGTCCAAATGCGTTTTTTCAAGGTGCTGGCCAGCAATGGTAGTGATTGCGAGCATGAAAAATTAAAACTGGTGCGATACTTGTTTCATCCTGTTTAGTGAACATTCAATCAAATGAAAGACTTCGAGCCCAGTTTGTGAGATAATGGTATAGCCATAAGCATTAATTTACCCACTTGCTATTAACTATTCAAAGATTAGCAGCACTACGTACACCAGCGACGACAATGGTTGGATCCGTTAAGCATAACCTTCGTATAATCATACAGGAGCCTAAACCTTTTACCTAAAAACCGTATTTACAATTATTTGCAAAAGTTTATAATTTCCAAGTATTGAGCACACTGGCTATCAAGACTGCTTTCCGCTTCTGACGGTCAGAGAAGTGTAACGATGGATCAAAAGGAAGGGCCGAATTGAGGACAAAGACCAGAATTTTAGAGTTCTAAAGTACCGTTTTTTCATGAATTCACCTATGCGCTCCTATCATGGTTTAATTTTTTACCTGAATGCAAAAATTGATGCCAACAGCAGCATGAAGATGTTGGTTAACCAATCTTTTAAAACTTTCTAGTTGACATTTTGGAAACAAAATGGATGATGACAAAAATAATGGTATTGTTCCTTCCTGACTTGACCTGGACTTTTAAAGCGGGGTGAAATACTTAAATGTTATCGCATGCTTTTCAATCCTGCCTACCCTTAGTCAAAGGAAATGGTCTCAGAAACAGTAAAAAATAAGTAACTTTTCAGTATTTTACAACCACTTGCATTCTCCTTTTCCTGTAATGAGTAGCACACACCCCTTTAATTTCACTTTGTTTTGATCATGTACCAGCAACCATCATCATTAATCCAGCTGCAGACATAAACGAAGCCATTCAGAAGGCAGCCTATCTTGACTGAAAGGTATAGCGATGGTCTTACACTTTGTCTGTATTCCCTTGGGCTCCAAATTGCCACCCGTGAGTGGAATACAGTAGGCAGACACTTGATGATTACCCAAATTCTTTTTTATGTAATAAGAACTTCCTTTTTAAATAACTTGTCAGAATTTGATTAAGATACTCCATTTTGCATTAAAATGAACTTTTCCGGTTTTGTCATCAAATGTGGAAAGGTAGATTAAGATTATCATTGGTTCCAAAACAAAAGTGACAACATGCACATACTTGATATATTTACAATTCTGTTTAGATTATAACAACGGAATGATGCAAAAGTGGATTTTACTTGGCTGAGGTGAAATTTTACAATAAAATCAGAAAATTATGCCTTAGGTGGCAACTCAAACCCCATTTCAGTTGCATAAACAACTCTGGTGGATTGAGAAATTTCTTGTCTGGAAGCGAATTTTAGTGAGGTTTGATAAAGCTTACTGATCCACGATCTCACGTTTTCCTAGGCAGTTGATCACGTTTTATAACATCCAAACTCGCTCGACAAGCAGTAAAAATGCTGTAAGTGATTTTATCACCTTGCTTATAATTTTACGGGAAAGAAAAGCTACGGTTGATACCAATAAAAATGTACCACCATTCTTATATTTTCCTCAACCACGAGCTCTTTAATATTCACAGGTAACCCTTCTTCAGGCATGAATATCCGTGCGCATGATTAAAAATAATCCCCACTGTAAACTCACCTGAATGGGAACATTGAATACACAGAGGATCATATCGGAGACAGTGAGGGCACCAACAAAGACGTTTGCCGCACTTCCACCCCGCAGATCACCAATGGCGAGGAGGGTGGAGAATATGATCGCATTTTCGATGAATCCTACCACTGCGACGGTGGAGTAGAGCGTGATGATAGCCGCCGTGTTGATGGGATAGCGATGCGTAGCGAAACGTGATGAAAGGAAGTACTCCAGGTCCTGTTCACTTACGTTCATTCTGCACAGAATAAGGCAAAGCCATAGTCTGTGGTTAATGTAGTGAAAGCCAAACATTCTCAAATAACTTCGTAGAGTGTAAGTTCCCTCATCCAAAAAAGCGGATATTTAGCGAAATATAAGTAACCGTGTTTCTTTGTTAATCCGAACGCATGTCACGCGCGAGGCAGTCTGCTACAATTACCGTTTATCTAGACATCAGACAGCACTACTGCTTGTGAATCAACGTGTAGCAGTGAGCAAAGTCTCTCTTACGAGACATGAGACAAAACCTGTGAATACTTACTCCTACGGAAATCTCTAAGTAGTATGCGGGAATGGTCAAGTCAGCTGAAATTAAACATTTGAAGGGTATAAAAGATGGCATTTGCATTCCCAGTCCAAAATTGTCATACCTGTGAGGGGAAGTTTAATAAGTGGATCACCTGTGTAATCCTTGCGCTGCCGTAAGACCCTGCGAACTGTACAGTTATTTACAAGCATATAGTGAATACCATGCCAATTGTTTTGACAAGGAAGGCCAGGATTATCTGCACTGTGCAACCTGCTGATTCCAAACCTTGGCAAGTCATTCCTCTCTGGAATCAGCGAGGAAGTAGATCAGCAATTCAGTACCGATGGAAAAGCAAACCAGGCTGGAGGAGGATAATATTGCCCTTACCAGAGCTTAGACGATTGTGTAATGGTATGAAAACTACAATTATTTTTAACCCAACATATTCTCTCATCTCCTTTATAAACTCAAATGCCTCATTTTGAAACAAACACGCTTAATATGCTGAGCAATGCCTTTAATAGGCTTATTTACAGTACATTCCACAGAAAAAAATAATTCAAATTTTCCATTGGTTAGATTGAGAGAATAAAAATTCACCGAATCCAATTTTTTGCAGTCCATCATTCTTCTACTTTACCAAAATTGCAAAAAAATGTTTGAAGCCACTGCAGAAAAGGTGCTTTTTTTGTGTCGCATTGCCTGTATTTAAACTGCGAACAGGATATCAACCATTTATGCCCCTCGTTCCCAAAGAAACCGTTAAAGTGAATGGAAAGATAAACAAATGTTTAAGGAAGGTTGGCGATTCACTTCAATCCAGCCAATTAATCATCCATCAATGGGTGATGATTCCAAGGAGAAAGAAAGCATTTGAAAGGACATTTTTTCTAACCTCGTAGTCAAAAGTGAATTAATGAGCAAATAATTCTTCACCTGACCAATAATTTGAAACTTGTAACGACTTTGTCGATTCCAGTTTTATTTACTCCTCCTTCTGGGTAAAATTTGAACAAAAACAAAGCATTCTTCAACGCTTGGAAATCTGTAAAAGAAGGGTTTTTCTTGTAAAGTAGATAACGACTGAAAATTGATAAATGCAGTTGTGGAACCAGTATTATTGAATAACTTAAAAATAACTAGATTTTATATAGCCCAACTGTATATTTTTTTGTTAGTTTAAACATTTGCTGTACTGGAAATAGGTCGAGCTTCTCCGTCTTGATAACCTGAAGGGGTTGTAACATGTCAATCACCACGATTGTTAATTCCAAATTTCGTTTTTATTTACTTTAAGAGTAGTTACACCATTTTCTTAAGCAAGCAAAATTTGAATATTTCCAGTAATTTGCGGAAAGTTCTAAATGGTTTATTTTTAAAAACGGGCTTTAAGTGTTCTATGAGGCATCCGAATGTGTCAGTAATAGCAAAAAAGAAGGAGCCGCTAATGCCTTTCCCTTTGTTTGCTTAAAAAACAGGCATTTAATTCAAAAATGCACATTTTGCTGCAACGAATGAAACTGCGTTAAGGTTAAATGCACCGTTGAATAACAAAACTGCTGAAAGGAGCTTCACCACTTTGAAAGGCTGCGCGCAAGTGCTTTTTTAATACCTAAAGCCTAAAATCTAAAAAAAAAAAACACTCCGAGCGTGTGTCTTACACAGCTGAAGTAAATTTTAGCATCCCTCTTTTCGCAATCATAAACTTTATTCGTCTAGAGGCAGAGACAAAGAGCAAATAGTTGGAAGGATATCCATAGCGCTTTTTAGGAAATATGGCAGAAAAAAATAATGTTTATTTCGAGTCAAGTAATATTTTCACTTGGTTATTAGTATAAATAAAGGTTAAAAGGAACTTTGGGGATTGCATATTTTTGCCCCGAAACCACTTACCCTCTAGCAGAGGTGCGTTGTCGTTTGTACTACCTTCGGAAAAAGCATATTTAAAAAACAGGTAGGGTACCTTAGAGGATGGAAGTCAATCACGGACTTATAAAGCGTAACTAAGAGACGCATCATTTTGTATAATTAAAGGGTGGAATTGCCCTCTGTATAATTAATTTCCTCGGGTAAGCAAATGCGAAACACCTGCGTCCATAAAACGGATTTATTAGAAAGCCCTTAAATTATTCCTTCTTCTCAAGGTCATTTGGTATAAAAAAGACTTCCCGGTTTTGTCCAAAATTACTTATACCTTCTTAGTTTATTAGCTTAGATGGTGGAAATAATGGTGTTGTGGTTAAAGGCGATCACTTAATAGTCAGCAAAAATGCTTCAGGATATTATAAAATCATCATTTATTAAAATAAGTAAAGAGAAATCGTTTCAGTGTCCGAAAATAGGAACTTTCAGACCCAGTACATTCAACGAAAGCAAATAAAATTCCTTTTATGTGCAAATAGGAAATACCATCATTGTGGACTTGTAGAAAGCAAATGTAAGTAAGGGGGTCCCTTTGTTTCCTAGTTTTAGTTTAAAAACACAGAAGCTTTTAACAGATTCGGTTGAAAGTGTTAGCTTTCCAAAAAAAGTTAACGCATAGAAATAAAAAACACTTTACTAGATCGTGACCACCACATCAAAGATGAAATTGACTAATTCAACCTCCCGTTTGACAAGGTTGTCATCATCTAACTCAAAGGTGCGAATAATCGACACATTGAATGATCATCAAACGTTGGTAAAGACATTGTTTTCAGTTTCAGCTGCACAAGAGCCAAAATATTTACTCAGATAATTCCCTTTCGATAAAGTTAGCAAATGGACCCTTATTTAAAATAACCTATTTTAATTATTAAAAGTTCTGCTTAAAAAGGTAAACTTTCAGATTTTGTTCTGCAAAAATAATCATAAAACTACAATTTTTACGCAGCATATTATATTTAACCGTAACCGGCGATCCATGGAACAGATTATACAGAATATTTTGTATCACCAACAAGGTAAGCTCTGGCATGCCACTAAAAGGAGCATTTTACCTGTATCAAAAGGTATCCAAGGATGCAGGCATTGGGGTCTCTCGAGGAAGGAAAACATTATTCTTCTTTTATTAACCAATCAGATTTTTGAAACTTGGAACTGCCCTTCATTGGTCCATTCTACTAAAGCAATTCCCTATCTAACATTGTGCCAAATTTCATTCATAAAGGCTATTTACTTGCAAGTCATTATACCACCATGTCATGCTTAGACGTTGGAATGCCAATGCATCAACTTAAAATGTCTCTTTTAATTACGTGGTCCGATTTTTGACTTCATTTCCACCTACACAGAAGAGTTCTTGCAATAAATTCTCCAAGTTAAACACCTGTTTACCTCTAAAATCAAGGACTGTTATATTTTACATCATTTTGCTAAAAATAAAACACAGTTTCTTTGGATTATAAATGTGTAGGATGATGAAAAGTGGCGTGTGGTTCGTATTCCCATTTTAAATGCCTTGTCACTCTTGAGAGTGCATCTTTCGTAGCTGCTGAGGAGGAAAAAAAAATGGCATTTCCGGATACAAGAGAACTGTCAGACATGTTAGATGCATTATGGGGAAAGCAAATCACCACAGGAAAGGATTACTTTACTGTAAAGAAAAAAATAAGTTAAGTAGATGGAAAAACTGGAAGAAACCAGGTCCGGGGAGTCGATGGAAGTGGAAGGCTTAGGTAAATAGCAATATGTCGCTTTGTCTCTCTTCCTTTGAGCATCAACCCCTTGGTCTGTGCTTGACAAACACTCATCAATCCAAAACAGGGAGCAAATGTCCATTTTAAGTCAAGACTGGAGGAGATCTTGGTGAAAAATCTCGCAGAGCCATTCATAATTGAATTTTTTAGAACCTATGTCTCAGAAGGTCTTACAGCTAGGATAAGTCTTTTACAGCGTAAAACATTTATGGTGACTAAAAACTGGCAGTTTTTAACTCGTACGCACTTGCCAAAAGCAAGTGATCGTGAAGATAGGCAGCAGTCCATGGGTGTTGGATCAGTTTTCTGCATCCTCTAACACTTACCTATCATACCACTCCTGCATTAATGTTGAGTGAATTCTGATGTTATTCGAGGTTGTCTGGTATTAAAATCGAATTTGTCGGAATTTCATGGTTGTTGAAGTTCCGTATTTAACAATTGGTGTAAGAACTGGGGATTAACATGCTAAGGGCTTGCAGTCATGTTCAGCACTCACGTCAACTAAAAACACATTGGAGAATAGTAAGACGTGGCAACAAGTCTCACTGACTACCAATTTGTTCTTCCTTTTCTCACCTGTTGACTGTCTGACCAACTGGGTGACTTGTCAGTGGGAATATCTTTAAAAACTTTAACATTTGTCGGCATTCTCCAAACTTGTCACTTTCTAGTCCATACTTCTTAAGTACGAGGAATACTATGTCTGCCATGTACGTCAAAGTGCTTCACTATAAGGACTCTTTGGTGAAGACCAAACACTCTGTCTACTCAATACTACTCAAAGACGCAAAAGGCAGCCAATCACGTGTAAAATTGTCGGTAGTGGCTATATGGTAGGAGGGAAGTCCTATTTTGCAAGATCACTCAAATGAAGATCTGTAACTTAAGGTGGAAATAGACTACTACATTATTCCCATCCTCATCCTTCATATTAGTCTAATTCAGCGCCACTTCTTTGTGCCAGACAGCGACTAAATGACATGCCACAAAAGTATGTTTAAAAATAGAAGTAACAGCAAAACTAAAGAGCATATGGGACTATTCCTTTTGATTTGGAAAAGAAAAAGGCTTTTGATATTTAAAATGAATTCACTATTTGTAGAGGCAATTTAACTTATGTTTTGCTCTACTTTCTCTAATGATAACTGCTTATTCTCCCTAGAAATACGAATTATTTTATGTGTCTTACATGAGTTCTAAGGGGATAGGCATTGTCTCATCCCCATTAAGAGACTAACAAGCAAAACAGGAGCGAATAATGGCAAGAATCACGCTTTTGAAAGGATCACAAAGGAAAGAATAAGCAGCCTACGATGTTAATTTTAAAGTCTTTTAAGCCCGATTTCTTAAATAAAGTATAACATAAAAAATCTGTGATGAGACTGTCAGATATTTTTACCCTTAGGCAAATTATTTTTAAGAGGTTATGAATAAACACTTGAAATAATCGCCATGCATTAATTGTCTGGAAAACTCTCGATTCTGGAAAGAAGCCAGTTAGAAAAAAATTAGCCTCTGGGCTATTAGCCCCAAGCAATTCTGAATATCTACATATCTGGCGCATCGAGTATTCGTTGGAGAAAAAAATAATACATAATACCTGGGGAGAAAGTATATGGTTGAGACGCAGAAGTGCTTGAAGCTACTGGCATAGACTGGAGATCGGGCCATTTGGTTTAACCGCAACGACAAAGCACCTGACAGGCCACCTTACCAAAACCAAGAGTTAAACAATCAAACGACGAATTACACGTGCTCTTTCTGAATACTATATATTCTTTCGTCCTCAGGGAAATCTCGGGACGCTGCAGCGATTAGTAGCGCATTTCAATTCCCGCTGGGCCTACTACTAGTCAATCAGGGGAACCGAAGCAGAGTGCGGTTTTTGGAGAGGTCCAAAACTAACACTTTAAAGGATTGACACCAGGACAGATGGTATTCCAGCAATTGCAATTAACTGCTCGCCACGTCTTGAATGAAGGGAGTAGAAAAGTGCTTAGTTTTGAACCAAATAAGAATTCCCGTCATTCACTTTGTTGAACCTTGCTTTTGAAAATATAATGAATTGCCTAGAAGGCAAAACAAGAGTTTACAAGAAAATAAAATATATTTTTGATAACACAAACTGTTATAACTTTGTCAATATGAAGTGATTTTGTAGAGAGAAAAAGTATACCTTTTTTATTATATTGCAAAATGTTAGTTCCTTTCAGACTACTTTGAACGTTTTTACTAGGACTTGGCAATACCTTCTGCAGGAGAGTAAATTAAAATAAAATTTGTAAATCCAGAATCACCCTCTCCATCATTTATATCTGGAAGTGTTAACAAACACTTAAACTTCATTAACTTGTTCATCCTGATAAACCTTCACCAAAAATTGAAGATACAGCTCCACTTGAGGTATATTTTTTTGAGAAGTGAAGCAATTCCTATGGCATCTCCCATGGAAGTATAGTTGGAATTAGAGAAATAATTTTGACTGTTTTTTGTCGTTTATATTCACCTAGTATTTTTGGAGTTAACTCGTTGTAATACAAAATATTTGATCAATCCAAGTTGGTGATGAAATCCCAAAATAGTTTGGTGCGTTTCCTGATCATTTTATGTAGGTGGAATGGGTAACTGTACCTAAGTAAAAAGCAAACTGTCAAAACAAATCAGAAAATGACTGTTAAGGTGCAAAAGCCCTTCATTTTTGACTACCCTTCATCCCACTTCATCCATCTTTCCATCTTTTCTTCATCTTCACTTCACACCTATTTCATTTTATAAGTCGTTTATCATTCATAAAAAGCTGAATATTATCAACGTAGCTACGGAAATTTGTAATATCTGAGGCGAATAGTGCACCCTTCTGTTGGTGATGACAACTTTATCTGCAACTATACACCTGTAGTGTGCCGAGACTCCCCTGAATGTGAAAGAAGACATAATACTCCGGTAGGAAATATATATTTTGGGAAGCAGAAGGAACTAGTACTAACGACATGACTCGAAGGCTGGCCAACCCAGAATGCTGCATCAAATCAATCCTAAAATGTGGGGCAAAATGTGGTTTTTTGTTGAGAATTTTATGAATAAGAATGATTCCGCAATAATTTAGCTGTTGGTTTAACTCTCAGTTTTGGTAGGGGGACTCCGTAAGTGCTTCGCTGCTGTACCTTCGCCAGGTGGCCCGGCCTCCATGCCATGCGAGTAGCCCCAAGCCCTACTGCATGTCTATTTTACATTTATTCTTCCCCGGTAGTGTCTTCCTTCGCTTTAAAATAAGTCTCGAAAAGCAGATTTTCATTTATTGTTCCTCTTACATATTCCTCACTCTCCCTTTGATATTTGTAAATTTAATAATCAGAGGGCTCTTTACACAATTTTACTTGTCAGATGTTGCACTTCCTACTTTTTACATTTTTGACAAATTAAGGTGAATAATTTTGTATGCAGCAGTATCTTTTCATACATCTAGAGGGAAATAAAAAAATTATTTTTAGACCATTCTGGTAAAGTTCTGTAATTAAACTGTCTGAGATGAAGGTGTTAGGTGCTAAAGTCCCTTGTTAACATTTAGGATGTTTCGCTAATTTAGTGAAGGGTTATAATTAAGCTGGTCTTATAGTCAGGTCTGAAATTTTACTGACCGACCCTACACACAGCAGATATGGGAGTCTAGGCAACTCACTAGGTGATTTTGCCTCTTCCTCTAGCAGAGGCTCTTTTAATTTAGATGATTGGGACAGATAGTTCCATCAGCTGAGCAAATTCCTGACGCTGTATTGTGCTAGAATTTGTGGACTTTAATGGTACGGTTTAATTTACGGTTTATCAAACAAAAACGGTAAGACGAAACCACAAAGGCCGTGGTAAATGGCTGCTTAAAGTCGAAACAGACTTGGCGTTATAAGTAAAACGAATTCAAAATTATTAATATCCTTTCATACTAGCCTTTCTCGGAAGAGTTGTTATTGTAAAACGGGTCAAAAGGAGAGCAATTTTTGCAATTTACGTTGGAAACTAATAATTTTTTTTTCTTATCGTTAATTACCTTTTTTGTTCTAGTTGCATTTTGGACCCGGTAATTTCAAGCCGACTTTAGCTGCATCATCTCCGTGAGCATTTGGCCACTGTTAGTTAACTTGCCCTGGGAGATGATGTCCAGGTTGGATCGTACCCACCACAAGTTAAGGCAGTCAGTCATCTCACGCGCCCTTCATTGTTACCTCACAGTAGTGCATAGGAATATCAAATTGTCTTTTTTGCCTCTTTTGCCTTTTTAATTATGCATCTCAGCCGGCTTACATGGTAAAGCATCTGAGCTTGAGAAGTATAATAAAACTGATCATTGCGATGTTTTGCAGCACCACGAGGCTTTCTCAAAGACGGCAGAAGACACAACAAGGGTAGAGAAGGTATTATTGGAGTAAGGAAGGGTTTGGGGCTACCAGCATGGTCGGGAGGTCAGCCCATCTGGAGAAGGTGCCATGTTGCAATACCCAAGTATCTATTATTTCAA